CACAAACTAAGCATGGTAGCTGACTAATGGTTACCATGTATATTACTGAGAGTGCAACCAATAGACAATACTTTCATACATAGTTTCGACTCGATTCACAAGATACAGCTCACATATTTTCAAAATTCTTGTTACTGTTTTATTGCACTCTGCATTCGAAGTCTGTACCGAATTGTTAATAAATTTGCTAGGAAAATTATCACAATACCTAGCTTAGTGCTGCGGTATTCCATGTAAATTTATGAACTTCAAGTGCCCATGTGGTCTACGTGAAAAGAAATTCAAAGCTGAGCTTAACTCATACAAATTAATGCAGCAATAAAAGTATCTTCCACAACCACCACTTTCTAAAAAAAAAAGATAAAAAAAGATTATGTAATTTTAAAATTAAATAAAAAATGCACTTTTCCTAAATTTTATTGCTAGATATTTCTTATTGTTATTGCTATTTATATATATATATATAAATATAGATATAATTTTCACATTTATTTTAAGATTTGTGTAGTACACAAGTATGTTTATTTAAGAATAATATAGACTATGTGATAAACATATAGCCAATATGTACGAATATCTCTAATTAGTTTTTGGTTAATTATCTATACAGAGTGTTTTGTACTAAAGTGCTAGAAAGTACAAAAGAAGGCAGTTCTTGGAGGCGCGAAAGGACGAAAGAAGGGACGGGTAGGGAATAGGGAAGTATGGGCTCATATACCCTTAACATCATAAATATGGTTTATATGAATATTTTAAATTTTTACTACTTCATAAAATATTCTTTAATTTGATACATTATGTTTTCTTTTATATTAACTTTTATGTGAAAAAGTTATAATAGTTCATATATGATTTTTGATATTTTCCTAAAATATTTGTAAAAATTTTTTGTTGCTTGTTTTTCGCTTTCAACTTTTCAGAACCCTAGTATCAAGGATCTAACATAGTTCCTCTTATGTGGGTACCGGGACATGAAATATCAGACACTTTAGTAAAAGAGTACTAAATGCATGTACTTCTTTTATTGTTCCAGAGCCGTTCGGTGGGACTAAAAATAGCTTCAAAAATAAAATAATATGTGAACAGCACAAACAAAGTCTACTTAAACACTAGAGAACCCAAACGTGGACTGGAGTAGCTTGAAAGCGGCATATTGATCCCAAATCAAATAGGTGAAATCAAGCTCACAACAATTACGAGATTTTTAAATAGTTTAGAATTGTGTTACTTGGGCTTTAAGTCGCGATAGATCTTTTAGGTTGGAGTGCATTCATAGACTGTTATTTAATAATAATAATAATTATTATTATTTTCTGGCCCCTATAATATGACTTACTTCCTTGCTTTGGAATAAGTCTCAAGAAGACTAAGAAACATACCTACACGAAATGCTACGAAACCTTGGTGCAGTTGTGTTATTATTGACGTGAATAAGACTTCTAAAAATCAACTAATTGTTTGTAACTAAAATTTTTTGGAACTTTAAAAAATCAAATAATAATATGAAATAATAATAAATAAACTCTTTGATCACATGATTAGATTAGGTTGAAGTGACAGCCTTATGCACCAAAGCTCATTTAAATACATTTAATAATATGTTGTGATACCACAGATAGACACCATCTGAAGAACCATTTAAAGAAAGAAGTTCGTTGTAGCGTACAAATGGCATTCTACTTCATGTTGAATTTATAAGCTTGTCTTTAATTTTAACGGGTGACGGCTCTATATAAGAATCTTGAAAATTTTGAATTTTCTTCTAACTAATGATTAAATAACTCTAAAAAAAGCTGTTAAAAAGTAAGCCAAGCCTTCTTCTTTTTCTTATTCGTACAAATTATGTCCAGTTTGAAACATGTGAGTCTTGTGATTTGACAGAAATCTTTATTTACCCAGATTTTTATTAGCAACTCTATTAATTTTTGTTTAAAAGGATTATCCATAAATATTAAAGAGCATCGTACCCGCGTGTACAAGTTCGTCTACTTTACATTTTCCGAGAATGTTTCTGTGTCCAGGCATCTACATGACTTTAATAACATATTCTAAACTGTTAACAATGCTCTCCGAAATAAAATCCATTACGAAATATGTTACTACTTGTTTTAATATCGCTTTTAGTAGTTTTATGTAAACTTTGTGACTAACACCCTTTAATTGTGAAAGCTCTCCAAAGCACGGCCAGTGAGATCTTATCTGATTTGAACAACCCTGATTTTAGACAAGAAATTTTTTTTTCTTTACTATTTTTTTCTAGTTTTTTGAAGCCAATAAATGTTATGGTCTTTTAGCCCAAAGCAGTCTACAATAAAGAAATGTGTAAAAAATATATCAATTTGTTAGTTTGATAGCTTAGACCCAAAACATAAATTAGATTCTAGAGAACACAGAAATGAAAAAAGTGGCTTAATAGATAATATTTAATTATGGTACTTTTAGGCAGTCAATTTTAGTCATTAATTTGCAATCTATTTGGCATTAGTTTTGTGGGTGATTGTGATTTTATATTGAATCTGAAACGTATTTTTTTATATATCAAATAAAGGGTTTTTTTAAACAGTAGTGAATTACAACAACAAAAATTATTATTATATTATTTTAATTAATTGATATTGGTATTGCTAATTGGTATAGGTAATAATTGGTATTGCTAAATATCCATTATCAGTTTCAAACAGTAGTGAATTACAACAACAAAAATTATTATTATATTATTTTAATTAATTGATATTGGTATTGCTAATTGGTATAAGTAATAATTGGTATTGCTAAATATCCATTATCAGTGGTGTTGGAAATAATTCCTGTGTTTAATTATTCGTAAATAAATGTAAAAAAAAGTTATGAGTTATTGTCTTTACTTTTGATAGAGGAATAGAAGAAACGCATTCCGTTTCTTTGCTTTTGGTCTAAATGAGATATAAAGCTGGGGTCTTAATGCTAAGTAACTAGCCACTTCATTTCATAAAAATTCTTTTCAAAAATACAAAGAAAAACGAGAATAATTAATTTGTGCTCTTTTAAGAAACTCATTTGAATTCTAAAAATGTAGCCCACAAAGGCGGTGTATAGTGGTCAGCATAATATATCTTTTTTTTTGTTATTATTTTTGAAATAGAATACAAACATTGTTGGAATAACAAAACTCGTATTCACACCCGCAATAGGGCAATGGTTTTGTTGTTGCTGTTGTTATTGTTATTGTTATTGTTTCAATGTTTATTTACAGCTTTTAACTCAAAACAAACTCAAGTTGTTAAGAAAATTATTAAAAAAAAAAAAATAAAAAACAGCATTTGCTTTGAAGTCAACGGCAGTTAAAACGCATGAGATATTCGTTTTCGTTTTTATCTAAACAACTTTAAGATTTGAGCCACAATTATTACACATATTTAGATACTTGCTATGCTAACATATCTACGAGCGAACAAACGAACAAACGAACGAACGAACACTGCTACCAAGATACCAGATACAAGATACAAGCTAACATATATGATTTCCCATACACATTAGTTATGTATAAACACAAGTGTATCTTTTTATCTCAAAGTTAACGTTTTGATTTTTTGTTGTCTTATTCAGTAAATTTTTTAAATTTTTTTTTTATTTTTTATTTTTTATTTTTCATTCATTTTCAATAGCCAAGATTGTTAACTCAAAAACTCAATCATGAGCAACGCGTACGCTTAACTGCCACCAACTTTGAGTACTCGAAGCGCTGAACTCGCGGCGGTCTCAGTTCGAATTGAGCCGTGTTAATAAACGTAGCTGAAAGATACGCGACAACGAAGCAAAATCAAATTACGGATTGTTTTTTTTTTGTTTTTTTTTTTGTTGAAAATAATACATAATGAAATGATTTTAAAGCTGAAATCAAAGAAGTTTTTATGAAATATATTAAACGAGCGAAAATCGAAAAAAAAAATTTTATTCTAAATGCAAAACAAAAAATTATAAAAAATATTAAAAAAGTTTTTCAACAAATTATTAATTAGAAGTTAAGTGCGAAAACGAATAACTTTGTTTTTTTTTCCCAAAAAAAAAAAAAAATTTTTTTTTAAACCTAAAAATGTGCAGTGCTTAAGACAATTGTTTACGATTTCATACGAAATGAAAAATAAATGTAAAAGTATCTCTTCAAAGCTTGGTATGGTACTTAACAAACGAGAGTAAAAGTTACAAACATAAATAATGTTTTAATTATTTTTTTTATAAATTACACTAATTGTGTATAGAAGTCCAATCAAATTTGTATAAAACATCGAACTTTACATAAATAATATTTTATTAATTAATAATATTTTATGCCAACGAACTTGTATCTTGTATCTTGTATCTTGTGTCTACATTCAACATATAAGTTAAATATAAGAAAAAATATTCTTATACATATACAAAAATTAAGCGTGTTCGAAGCTTACGACCTTGACTTATACAAAGTATAAAAATTACTATATAAAAAAAAAAGATAAAATTAAATTAAAAGATACATTTTATAACGAAAAACATTGCAAAAATTGTGAAAAAAAATCTTAGTTTTTAAAGAAAATAAAAATAAAAATTAAATCAACAAACTACAACGCAGCCTAGTCATTTTAATCGAATTTTTTTTTATTATTATTATTATTTTTTTCTTATTTTAATAATTAAAACTTAAGTCTCAAAATCGAACAAAAATTAACCGTATCTCTCACAACGCTACGCCCCCTTTTTTGTAAATATTTATTAACTCTTATACTTAATTTGTGGGTGGATATTACGCAAAAAAGAATTTATTGAAAAAAATTTTCAAAGTTTAATAAGCAAAATTAAAATATTAAAAATATTGTTTATTAATAAATCAGTGCCATAAAAAGTTGAAAAATGCTTTTCTAATTAATAATCAAATATTTATTGTTTCCATTCTCTTAAATAATTCATGAAGCCGAAGCCTATGTGTGATCAATATTAAAATATTATAGTAATTATTATTATTATTTATTATTTATTACTTCTGATATTCTTGCTGTGATTGTTTTTAAAATATCCATGTTAAAGTCAAAATGTTTGCACCACGTAATTCATCACCCGTTGCCATGTATGGCAAGGAGGATATTGCAGCTTATGAGGTAAATACCGGATACTTGCAGAAAATAATTAAATATCTACACTCTTATATTTTATAAAAAATATTTAAAAAATTTAAATTTCTTTAAAGAAACTATAAAGCACTGTTACAAAAATTTTATTATTATTTATTAAAGAGGTTTTTCGAACAGTAGTAAACTACAACAACAAAAATTTTATTTTTTTTATATTATTTTAATTAATTGAATTTTTGGCTGACCATACAGCTGTTGCGAGTATTGCCAAATACCCATCATCAGTGGTCTTAGAAATAATTCTTTTATTTAATTATTCGTAAATAATTATTTTTGAGACTGCACGCACCAGGAATCCAATTCCTGTCCTGCCAAATGTGAAGCTCAGAATCAACGCACCTTAACCTTATTTTATTATAAATTTTATTATTTATTAATTTAAAGAAATTCGTACAGCATTTATAAAAAAAAATTACAGAATTTTTTTTTTTATAGTTTTAAAAAACTAAACGGACAAAAACATATTTGTTTTGTGTCACATTTTCATATAAAAAATATATTACTAACATTATTATTCATATAAATATTATTCAATAATTAATCTTCAGTAGTTAGTTAGTTAGTTAGTTGAAGTGAAGGGAGAATATCGCTGAATGCATTAAAGCAGAGGACCACAAAAATCTAAGCCTCGTTCTGGCCAGACCTGGACACAGACACAACCGGTGTTCTGGTATCCTTTCCTCGAGAGTTGGTTCTTTCCCCATGCGTTGCTGGAGATACCACCGGGTAGATCGAGTCTAGCTCCATGCCGTCCTATGGTTAAGTGTGCTATAAAAATAGATATTAACCTAAAAACTTAACATAAAACATTTTTCATTTAGCAAGGCTTTAACTTCTTCTTCAGACAGAAGTGCTTTATCCAAAAAAAAAGACGTCTATATTCTTCGAAAATCAGACATACACCATTAATATAATATAAATATGTATTAATATTTTTAACATCAATAATAATACAACGATTACACAAAGAACAATCACATTCAGATATATTAAATTCTCCGGTGTTCAGTTTAAAAAGTCCATCTTTACAATAAATAAGTACGCTCGTTAGATGTTGAGTGTTTTCGTAAGAAAAACTATGAATAATGTCATATTGCAGTTGTAGGTACATAACATATCATTAGTTTTCGACCTAGCGATAAAGGAATCGTGTTTACTCCATTTATATATAGTTATAATATACTGGTTATTGAAAGACCCAGTTTTAAACACATATTTTCCCAAACTTTGGCCTAATGTAATAATTCAAGATTTCTACTTCAAATATTGGTTATTATAAGACCCAGTTCTAAACACATGTTTTTCCAATCTTTGGCTCAATACATGCGTTTCTCAATCGTAAGTTCAGCTTGTATTTGAGGAAGCCTTGTGGAGGGAAGATTACAATTTTTTTTTTGTATAGGCGATATGTGTTTGTATTGTGTCTGCAAGCTACGTTGGTAAGATCGCGGAGGCTATATGCTCTACTTAAAAACGGTCTTCATAACACATTATTATACACTCTGGCATATTCTCTGATTATGTTATGCAGCAGTGACGAGCAGACTCCCTTTTTTTTATATTTGTAACAAACGATATAAGTTCCAAATTTTTTGTTCTTTATAATTTAGATTTGACAATATTTTTGGATTTTCGCTATCTTTCGTTTAAATTGGCTTTAATCTAAATGGAAAACTTATCGATTGATAAACGTCTATAATTATTTAATTGTTATATCTGTTAAACGACACAAATATATATGCAAAGCTTAGTCTATCACATATAAATAATATATGTTATATAGCATGATCCATATTTTACCTAATTTATAAAAGTCGTCTTAATTTCGGCATCTAAATCAGAGTTTATTTTTCAAACAACAGAACTTATCTGCATCTTGTATCCTTTTAAACGACTCTTTAAAATATCGGGCTTTGAAGATAAACATTTCGGCATGATAGTCACCAGATGGCGCCTTAATTTTTATTTACCCAAGATTTGTATAATCAATGTAAAAATTGTCTAGGCTAGTTGACACTATTGTGTGTACTTTTTATGTGTATAATTAACGTAGTTTATCATTTTCAAACCCGATACCTCGAGAAGATATTCGCATATAGTGTAGTGGGAATATTCAACACTCAAATCCGTTAACCAATCAGCGTTTCGATATATTTCACTGATTAATATTTGATATATATCTGTCACTACAAAATTTGTGCTATCTAATCAGGACCACGAAATTGACCTGTATTGACTGTATGCATTTATTTAAGTATTATGAAACGGAGAACTCTCCACATCGCGTCTTAGGTGGTTTTTTGTGATAATCCTAGATATTTTACTTCTTTATAAGACTTTTAATTTTTTATTTTATTCAAATACTAATCTCATTTTGTCCTATAAGTCTGTCAAAAGACCTGTGAGCATTTTAATATTCTATCTGCTGAATGCATAAACTCTATTTGTCATTTATTTAAATGGTTTAATGAATTTCTTGGTCTATTTTTGATATTTACTGTTCAGTTTATGTGTCTTCTTACTATTGTGCAGGTACAGGTCCAATAATTGACATTGGAATCGTCTTTTGTTAAGAAAATCAGACGTTTTGTTGTCTTTGTTTCTGTTATATCCCAAGACCCCTTACAAAGTAACGCAGTTGGTTTAACTTCACTTAATGTTAGTTGGTTCAGTTAATTCAAGAGCGATTGAGAATTGTTCAGCATTTTTGTATGAATTTCATAATAATTTACTGGGTTTGTTACTATACTATACATAAAGGACATTTCCTGAACTATACTGAGAAGCTTTGCTATACATAAAGGACATTTCCTGAACTATACTGAGAAGCTTTGCAAATATTTCTGTGTATATAGCATTAATGTGTAATTTATTACTTCCTAAGTCTTACAACAAATATATTGAATATTTTATATCGAAGTCAAAAGTCAAAGAGGTTTTACATTTATGTGAACAACAGTGTATGTATGTAAAAGTTTTGACTAACCATCCAGCAATTTTAGATACTGCTAAAGATTTGTTAACCGTAGTAATAAGTTATCAATTTCACGTAACTGTAACGTTTAAAATTGATAGTTTGTGTCACATCATCGTCATTTTCAAAAAAGTGGAAACCCATCAGAACTCCAAGTCCAATATTTACGTTTAAAATGATAGTTTGTGTCACATCATCGTCATTTTCAAAAAAGTGGAAACCCATCAGAACTCCAAGTCAAATATCACATAATATCACATAATTTTGTGGACGCAATAGTGATCTCTCATTGCCTCTCTGCCTAGATGCTTTAACTTTGTTTGCTGAAAATGAGCCTTACGAGTGAGAAAAATTCGATGTACATTATCTTCACAATTTTTATGCTATTTTTTGCAATTATAACACGTTCTGAGATTGTTAAACGATAAATATTATGAAATGGCAAACGTTGAACTAAGCATGTAATGGCGTAGATTACAGCTTTGTTTGATGAATTGTATAACAATTGTATAACAATTTTACCTATACATTTTTAGATAAATAGTTTCATTATTGTTAAAATCATTCAAAATATTAAGGGGATCCCTGTTAAAGCAAATATCTATGCATCTCCTCTCAATAAGTACTTAATGCTTTGTTGAAGGACAAGACACATTGAACATGTGTTTATGATAACTCTCTCGTTCCCCTGGCATATGAAAGCCTTAACGCTTCCATAATCTCTAAGTAGCTTCCACAAATGAATTGCTGTGCACATTAACTATTTATGCATATTTAATTGCATTGTTGCAATGTATCGCATGCAATATATGAATATTTCTACCTTCGTATCATCATGAATATATAAAGTAGTGCAGATATAATTTGCAAGGCAAATATACTCGTACGTTCATTAAATATTTGGCAAAACTTCCGCTTCGAATGACAAATTCGCATGCATATGTACTATACTCGTATGAAAGCACAACTCATCACTGCTGCTCTATTGTATCTTTGTATCTATAGACGAAATTTTCAGTACATTCATTTACGACTATACTTCTGCATATTTGGTCTCAGTTGGTTTGTACCACTTTCCTTTCCTTTTCTTTCAGGAAAAGAAAAATAAACTTTAATTGTTAATCTTATTTTCTTTTGAGATATACACAAAAAACTAATCACATAATTTACATATTTTTTCGTTAACAAGTGTAAATAAAAGCAAAAGATTCAAGAGTTCAAAGAAAAATATATAAAATAGTTAGAAGAAAGTGTAAAGCAGAAAACATTAAATTTACATATCAAAGTTTTTATAATTCAAGAAAAAAAACCTTCAAAAAAAATTGTAAAAATATAGCCCAGAATTTTGTGAAGTAACTGTTTTGAAAATTGACACACACTTCCAGCTCTCATTGATTATTTAAAACATTTATTTTTCTATAAAAATGAAAGGTTTTTTTATATTTAAACATTTCATTTAATTTATTTTTAAGTATTTTATTTTTTTATCTTTTTATTTCTTTAATTTATGCAAAAATGACACACTTTGCTTAGACTTTTTAGTTAAGTATCTTTTGATTAATTCCAGTAACTGTCAATACATATTTTCACTTCTAATTTTTTCCTCTTACCATAGTTCAACGATTGTATATACATATGTATTGCATTGTTGTCATATATATAGATATAATATATTACATTTCGATCTGTATATATTGTCTGTCCATCCGCCAGGGTGGTACTTTATTTCCTTAACTATTCTAAGCTTTAAATAGAATGAATATATTTCTTTCTCTCATCAAACTTAATATAAACTTAGTTATAAAACATTTCTTTGTACCCTACATTTTTCACTTTCTTAGTTATACTTATTAATATCAACTTGTATCTTCCTTTCCTTAGATCGCCTTGTGCTTTCAACTACCGATATACTTCCTTATACATTCAATATATATATTGAAACATATTTATACTATATAGATAGGTTAGGTAAGGTTGATCCAAGGATGGCGGA